CACCATTTCAAATGAGTATTTGTTAAGGGGGAAACCGTCCCTTGTCGTGTTCTGCTACATTACATCAGATTTATTTCCATTGTTCTGAAAAACACCAGCCTGGAGAGGGCTGTGTGCTGCACTCCCAGGCAGGGACAATTGACTGCTGCTTCCTGTTTCTTAGATGATTGCAAAAAAATACAAACAAAATCACCCTTTTCTTGCTGAGTTATGCTGAGTGCATTCTGCAGGCAGGGACCCCAGGGCCACTCCAGCACCTGTCATGCTGGCGGGGGGTAGTGTGGTGACCGGGTGCCATTCTCAGTCCTATCACTGGCATGAAGTGACTGAGTAGTCTGGTCACCAAAGTAGGAGTTGAGGAAAAGCAACTGAATGGTGAGAGCCCAGCAGGTCAGACATGAAAGAGACTGGCCAGGTTCAAGGGCTTGTCTGTGCCACCCTCCTGCTAACGTCTAGGCCCTGCCTGACCACTTGCACTTGAGTGCTCAGACCTTCCTTGCTTGCTCTGCGGCAATTCATGTGAAGAGCAGCTCTTTATTTCTGTGCTGTCCAACAGGCCTGAGTGTAGGGCATTTACCTGTAAACGTAAATGAATTAAAATTGAATAAAAATTAAAATTCAGTCCCTTAATTGCACCAGGCATATTTCAAGTTCTCAATGCTCACTTGCATCTAGTGTCTACCATATTGGACAGCAGGGTCTAGAATGTGTCCATCATCACAAAGCTCTCTGACCAAAACCACCCCTCCCCAAATATCTGGGGACTGGTTGCACCCTCTGGCCCCCACTTGGCATGTGGCTGGCTTCTGACAACATGACCATCATAGCAGAATAGAGCAGGCAGGGAGAGGAAAAAGCTCTCAGGGTAGAGGGAGGTGGTGAGACATTGGCCCAGCTGTGGGTACTGAAAGGTAATGTGGTCTGTAGCAGGCTCAGGGAGGGTGCACACTCAGAGTTTCCTCCAGGCAGACAGGGAAACCAGGGTCTTGACACATGGAAAGAGCACAACTCTGGAACCTGGAGAGCCCTGAGGTTGGAAGTCCAGAGGTGACTGGCCAGTGCCTGGGGCATAGGGCCTCTGTCACTAGGCTCAAGTTCAGAGCCAAGCAGATCACCTGCAGAGTTCCTGTTAGGGCGACAGTCACTGGCTTTTACTATGTGCCACACCAAGACCTTTACAAGAATCTTCTCGTTTAATACCCACCTGCAGCTGTGAGGCTGGTTTTATTACCCCACCTCCAGCCCATTTTATGTGTAAGGGAAAGAGGCCCAGAGACACTAAGAGTATTGCCAGAGAACGTTCAGTCAGTGAGTGACACCTGGACTCCAACCAAAGTTCCACCCTATTCCACATTCTCTGACCACCATTCCATGTTGCCTCTCTCTCTTTTCTTTTTTATTTTCTTATGGGATGAGTCAGGACCTGGTTTTCTGAACTGGAACATAACACTGTGGGCCAGAGAAGCATCCCAGACACTGGCCAGTCACCTCTGGACTTCCAACTTCAGAGCTTTCTGGGTTCCAGAGTTGTGCTGTTCCCACGTGTCAAGAGCCTGGTTCCCCTATCTGCCTGGAGGGAACTCTGACTATGTACCCTCTTTGAACCTCTTGTAGAAGCTTAGGGGTGGAAAGCCCAGTGTGGGACCAGAGGTGATTAAATCTGCTCTCTCAGACCAGAATGATTCTGGAGAGCTGAGCACCAGGGCTGCAGGGGCCAACTGTGATGGTTACCTAGAACTTTCATTCTACCTGTCTCCTAATAGAACATCTGTAAATCTCTAATTCTCCTTCCCAGGATCCTTGTATATTTAGCTGGAGCT